ATTGTAGGAACTTGGAAATACTATACAGAAAAATGAAAGTGTATGGTATCAATGGCTTCAGTACCCGTAACAATGATTTATGACTTTTTAGTAACTGTATTACCACTTTTTCAGTTTTCTGATTATTGCGTGACTATATCGTGTATTTTGTTATAATAATAATAACAAAAATATTATAAAACTGTATTACAAAGGTACCATACAGTATAACAAGAATTATAGTGTGATTATAAATTTATACTTAATCTAGAAATAACGTTTCTCTTTTGTACCCTTGTCAGTGTTGTTCACTTTGTAGTAAAGCATGTGATCATGTCAGCATTATGGATATTGTCAACAATATTATAATATTTGAACTCGCAATATTTTCCAAATGAGTGAGATGATAAGTAAGATGGTGCATTGTTTATTTTCAAGCATGCTATATATTAAATTGCTCTGTACTATGGTAAATTCTATAATATTTGAAATTGCAGTGTTAGATTCTTTAATTGGGCAAATAATATAGTTTGTACACCTATGAGACAAAAATATATTATTTCTGCTTCTTGCAATACCACATTGTGTTGTGTTTATATTCTACAAAATGTTTGCTTTAAAAATTTAAACTTGATTGAAGCATAAAGCTTTGATCTCTATGATTTATATCTAATAATTAAATAACAACTGTTCATGTGTAGCACAAATTAGGGGCTTACAGTTTGACATAGGTTCATGGTGTACACTAATTGTGGTTGGCATGGTTACACAAATTTCCCAGCAGTGTAAAGGCAGATAAAAACTTAATATGAGCATCATACATAGTGGGTTGTTATGGCACATTGTTTTGTTTAAAAATGGGAACTGATTGGGATTGATTTTTGTGTGTGTATTCAAGCGTGCATCTCCAGCTGCATCGTTAACATGCCAGGACTGCTAACATTCTAACTGTACACATGCATCAAACATCTTGTGATATACCGGAATATATCAATATGTATATACCGGTATATACATTGTGCTGAAAAAAATTAGATATTTCTATCATTCTGAAACCAGATATTGGTCGTGTGTATGGGATTCTTTCAAACTTAGTATAAACATGGGATCATCCAATATGACAATAAAATAGATCATGTGTGGGGTCCAGTGCCCTTTAGTTTAGTTCTATATTTTCTGATGTGTCAAGTCTACTCAAAAAATGTAGCCCAAATAGAAATATTCTTGGGATAGATAAGTATATGAGATGACTGAGGTGGTACAATAATCTCAGTGTAGAGCCACTGTTGTACCACTGCCACCTGCTGTTGATTCATTCGTCGAGCAGAGGGCAGGGATATTAGGTAGGGTTGCAAATTCAACACCACGCCAAAGCACCATTAGATTACAAGTGGGAACATCAGTACTGTATTTCTGGTGACAAACCATATTGTAAAGGAGACCCTGTACCATATGATCCAGTACTGTTGGTGGGCCCAGATGTACCATTCTTTTGCAAGGAAGACTGTCTAACCTTGGGCATGGTGTTAAAGAAATTTTAATTTCCACATTAGTTGCATTTTTCTGATTTACCTGATTTACCAAGTGCTGCAGCAGTCTCTGGCTTTAAGCCGGCACTCAATGGACAATACAAGAATTTGCTGATCATAACGTGTCCCTTTTTTTACATGGCTAACATCACCCAGAAAGTTGTATTTATGGTGAAAGGATATTTACTGAACAGGGGAATGCAAAACTATTTTGATTCAATGGGACCAAATATAAGGAATTAGTTTGAACCAGTGCTGCCTAAGTAGCTTGCCATTATGAGGGCCTCAACAGAGGCAGCAGTCAACCATACTGCCAGAACCAATGATGCTAGGCATAGATGCACCAATATAATATGTGTTCTAAATATGGTAAACTGAAGACACATACACACGAACAACAATCTCATTCATAGGGTCAGAATGCCCAATAATGACAGTCTGGTAGAGGGGAATGCAGGAACAATCATAGCAGCCAAGGAAATGATCGTTGAGGTGGATGTGGTTGGGGTCAGGTGTTTTCAGTGGTATGTATTAAAGAATTCATTTTGTTTCTCAACCCTTACTTCCTGTGGCGTTAAATTGTTTGGTTATCGTAGCAAACTGGCTAACTATCACAATGACCCTGTGGGACCTTTCAGTAGTCAAGCACAGCTGCAAGATCAAGTTAGCCAGAAAGCTTCAGTTGACTACATCACCAGTGTCAATGGCTCCGCCAAGAGTAATGGTAGGCATGATTTTCCAGGAAGTGAGAGAATTATTGGCAAATGGCAGCAGTGCCTGACTTTTCTGTGTTATTCTCCCATATTTTTGGTGAACAATAAAGAACAATATAGACCCAAGCCAACTGAATCAGTATATTCTCTCAGAGCATTTCATGGTGGTGACCCCAACAGAGGTACACTGCTGTGTACATCAGAGGATTTCCTGATATCACTCAATCTCATACATTTGATTCAACATATTAGTTCAATGTTTGCCCATTGTAGCCTCACAGGTTTTTTCCAAAATTAATGGCAGTGCCAGTTTTGTGGCTGCACAGCAGGCCAACAATGTGAATCCATTCTATCAATATCTGGTTGATACAAGAGCAGTTATTTTAGTACACATCCTTCAAACAATCATATTCCACATTTAGTATTTCCGGGAATGTATTCTTGGGAGTGTTTCAGGTTGAGAGACCCGACAGCCACACTTTTTGCAAGCAAGCACATCTGCACAGATCGGACAATTAATGAGCTTTGTGGAAATGGCTTCATCTATGAGAGGCCTTGTGCCTCAAACAGCTCTCAAGGGTATGCTTGTCCAGGTACACACTCCAGTTGTGTGGGTCGCCACATGAATATATCATGGACCTCACAAAGCTTGACTGCCCTCAAGTGGATGGACTTAACCAACATAAGACGGAGATAACAGATTGCTCCATCAACTCCGGCTATAACACTGGTCATGGACACCTTGAAAATAGAATGGGGAGTGGTTCCCTTGGAAAGCACAGCTTCACATAAACATACCTAATATGTTGGGAGGGCACTAGATTGCTTTCTAGATGAAGTATAGAATAAAACAGTTCCCATCCATTGCAACAACACAACTGTATTAGCATATATCACAAAACATGGGTGGACAAATCCCGCAAACTAGCCAGCTAGTGGAGGAGATAAAGAGTGGGAAATAAAGCTGAAGCCCATTTGGCAGGGGTTAGAAACAATGTGGCCAACACAACGCGCAATGCATACAATACATTGGTTTTGGCAAGGTAGGTATGGCTTCACTATGCACAATTTCGAATAATTCCCCGGGAATCTGATAATGCAATGATCAGTACATTAACAAAAGGAATTATGATTTGTTGGGGGGTCATGTGACAACAAAAGAATGCACACTCTTATGTTGGCACCTTTCGTATATTGATTAATAACAGATCCCGACCAAAGAATAATACATGCCACTATTTTCGTACCAATCGTATATCGAATAATAACAGATCCCGACAATAGAATATTACATGCCACTATTTTTGTGCAAATCGTATATCGAATAATAACAGATCCCGACAACAGAATAATACATGCTACTATTTTTGTACCAATCCTATATCGAATAATAACAGATACCATCAACAGAATATTACATGCCACTATTTTTGTGCCAATCGTATATCGAATAATAACAGATCCCGGCAACAGAATAATACATGCCACCATTTTTGTACCAATCCTATATCGAATAATAACAGACAACAGAATAATACTATTTTGGTACCAATTTTATTGTGAAGTATAGCAGTTCCTGACAACTAAATTATATGTGCCACTATTTTGGTACCATGACTATAGTGAAGTATAACAGTTCCCGACAACTAAATTATATTTGCCACTATTTTGGTACCATCCCTATAGTGAAGTATAACAGTGCCCGACAACTAAATTATATGTGCCACTATTTTGGTACCATCCCTATAGTGAAGTATAACAGTCCCCGACAACTAAATTATATGTGCCACTATTTTGGTACCATCCCTATAGTAAAGTATAGCAGTTCCTGACAACTAAATTATATGTGCCACTATTTTGTTACCATAACTATAGTGAAGTATAGCAGTTCCCTGCAACTAAATTATATTTGCCACTATTTGGGTACCATCCCTATAGTGAAGTATAGCAGTTCCCTGCAACTAAATTATATGTGCCACTATTTTGGTACCATCCCTATAGTGAAGTATAACATTCCCCGACAACTAAATTATATGTGCCACTATGTTGGTACCATCCCTATAGTGAAGTATAACACTCCCCGACAACTAAATTATATGTGCCACTATTTTGGTACTATCCCTATAGTGAAGTATAACAGTCCCCGACAACTAAATTATATGTGCCACTATTTTGGTACCATCCCGATAGTGAAGTATAACAGTCCCCGACAACTAAATCATATGTGCTACTATTTTGGTACCATCCCTATAGTGAAGTATAACAGTTCCCGACAACTAAATTATATGTGCCACTATTTTGATACTTATGACCCTCTCTATTGAAACAACATAATGTCATAAATGTCAACTGCAATCTTACAACAACGTTATTGCGGACAAATCTAAGATCAAGTGATCGCTAACATTATAAAAACATTTCTTGAAGATGTTAAAGTTGTATACAGCTGTTTTTGTCTACTGCAAAGTTTTAGTATCGGGGTATTTCTTAGACATTGGGGTTGTTCCAAACAGTATCTTGTGTCGCTTGAAGGCGATGGTGTCTCTAAAAATGGCGTCAGTGCCATGTAACCAATCCATTATTCCAGTAGCTGAATAGTTGCCGTTGAACCTAGGAAACAAATGTATTGAAGAGAATTCAGTGGTTGTTATCATCTCATCGCATTGTGTCATGTCAGTTCATATTCAATCACATCACATCACATCACATCGCATCACACTACATTATATCACATCATACCGCGTCGTATCACATCATTACATCTCACCGAATTCGTATCTGACATGACATGAATTAAATCGCATTTCATATCAAATCGCAAACACCACATGACATATATCTTGACATATATATCAACTGTGAAAACAAAAACAAAATTATTTACTCACTTCGAATGGTGAAAGTCGTGATTTTCAGGTGATCTAGTAATCGGAAAATGATAACCACTATGATTCAAAGTAATGGCATACATTACAATCACTAACCACATCCAATGTACCATTAGATGAGACCCCATCACAATGGGTCCACCAACCACAGGTATAAAGTTTGAGAACACGAATTCGATTGGATGAGCATAGATGCACGTTAGACCAATAGGAGCCGTCCATTCATGGTGAAGTTTGTGTACGTGTTTAAACAGGAATGGGTGATGCAATGCCCTTGTGGAGAAACATTATTCTTATAAGATGGGGATATTCAATGATTGTTTAATGATAACATTCAGGGTGCCGATTAAAATGGTTAGTTTTCTAAAGACTGGTCTCTCGCCCGTGACGCTCACCAGTGACGTTAACTGATATCACGATCAATGAAAGCGTGCTTACCAGTGCGAGTAGTAAAATGTGACTTCAACAAAGATCAGACAACCGAGTAAATCAAACAGTATCCTTCCGCCGCTCGGCAAGTCACTACTACTGACACTACACCCACGCCACCCAGCGCTGACGTAGTACACCCACGCTATTGGAGGGGCATAAAACAGTTGGTTGAGAATTACCACCTTGAATAACTTCTTGAGTTTAGCAACTTCGATCTAGTAGAGATAAGACATACAGCGAAACCTAGAGTACATAACCTATGAATACATATCTCATTCTATTGATTGGAATTCACAAAAGTCAAAACATACATAATTGCAATTACAAGTAAGGCGTATTTTCAAGTTCATAGTGATATACATATTTCTACCATAGCTTAGGAACGGACCCCTTTGTTGCACTTATATCGCAGCGATAGGTTTCAGTAATTCAACTAACTAACTATCCTTCCTTCCTTAACATGTTAAATTTTGATTTACGATTAATTGAATAGATCTTGTTATATGAGAATAAATCTGAGATTGAGTTCCATTTTCCTGCCTGAAAACAAACATTTCCGCTACTTGAAAATCAGCTCGCTGATATAGAATTTCATGTAGCAGAACATTTGTTTCAGGTATACGTTGCGGACCGAGTAGTTGACCAATGTTTGTTCAAGTAGCCGACCGATTGTATATATGTGCCATCGTATGTCCCAAGCTCTTGGGTGTGACGAATACAATCCTTCTATTATTGCTACCTTATACCAGTATCTTCGCGATTAGCGGCTTTGGTGGTGAGTGGCCTTCCTAGTATCATTCACAGTAACTGGCCCATTTGTAGGAGTGGAGAATAAATGTTTTGAGTGTTATGAACAAGACGCGTTAATATGGGAATACCATACATGTTGTTGATTTATTTGCCATTATGATGTGTGCAGTTGCTCTGGTTATTGTCCTCTAGTGTCTTACCAAGGGACATTTGATCATTTCTAGAACGGGCTGTACATCATGCATTCTTGTTATACTGCTTAGTGTCATACATACAGACAAAAGCGTTGAATATTGTTCATTGAAATTAATATTTCCCGGAACAATATTTTTCAATATGGATAAGAAATCATCTTTTTCCAGCAATAAAATAAAGATATGTATAATGTATTGCAATACTACAAATTAAAAAAAAAACAGAAAGGAAATTGCATTATAAAATATTTCGTCAGTAACCCTTCAGTGCAGTGAATGTATATGTATATCAGATACGAAATTGTATTTTTTTGATAAATTCAGAAATATGGCAAGGCATTCCAGTTTGTCTGGAATGTTTACAGCTGTAATACCTGTGACCCTACATATAAATAAATCTTGCCATGTGTAGAATCCATAGCTATATGTCAAATAAGTAATTTGATTACAATGTAAAGTTATTGCAAGAAATTGTTAATAGGAAATCCAGGCTAAACTGAGCTGGATTGTTATGAACGTGTCAACATATACAAATTTATTTTTATATTAAGTTTGTGGTGAAGATAACTGTGTTCTATCCCTGATGAATGAGTTGTCTGACACACATAGCTTTGTGCTTAGTTTACGAAACTAATGTAATTTGAAATATTTGAAATTTGTTCTGTAATTAATCTTTCTGTAATTGTTTATGACATGTAAATATAAATGTGATAGATACTATATGTTTTAAATATTCGAAAATATTAAAATTAATACTATTATGGATAGAAAAGCCACCTCATACATCACATGGTTAACTGCACAAAATTGCAGCAACACAAACAAATTCCTACCACCAATTAGATACAATGTCATTTATTATTTATTTTACTGAACACACATTTTAAAATGTGTTTCCACTAGAAACATGTATTAAAACCTTTTATCATCGCCATACTTTGAAAAATTCCTTTACACAAAACGCAATCTACATATTGAAAAGTGCTTGTATCAGCAAAATATAAAACAGATGAGTAATAAACTATAACATAAGATAACATCCTTAAAGTTGTTCTTTGATATAAATTAACGTTCCCAATATTTTGCCATTCCAATCCCATTCTCAGCCATTCCATCTCATTCATATTTCACTTTTCTGTCCGTCCAATAAATTGTTTTTTTTTTCACCACTTTTAAAATGATCTCTAAAACGGAACGGTGTGGTATGTTAAAAAATATATTTACCTAATCAGGACTTATCTGGCACATGGGACGACGACACTAATCCATGTTTAACGGAAAAAATAATATCAGTAAAATCATTTCGTCCTTTCTTACCAAACCTTTATTTTTTCAGTTTGAAAAAAATACAGTAACAAAATCAATTATCATTACAGATTCGATGAATGTGATATTTGAATCAGAAATACACGAATAGAACTGCATTTTCCTATCGAATTCTCTTGTATAATTTTATTTGATAAATAAGTTCATGACTCCAAGATATGTCGGCAAGGGATTTATCCAGTAAGCAATTCTCTGGTCCTTTAATTGTATGAAGTACCGAACCAACCCGCACATAATTAAATGAATGGAGGCCGCTGCAGATGACTACGCAGTACACAGCTGCCGATGTAGGCTCTATCAATCACCTTTTCCACACGTTTTATAATGGAGTAACAATACCACCATACCTTCAATTTCATTTAGGATATCTTCTGAATCTCGTCTTTCTCAGTAAATCTAAAAATCAATTGCTCCAAACAGTTGTTGCTTCTTTGAAGAGCTTGCCACCTTTCCACGTGCTCCTGGTTCCAATTATTGTTACTTGAACACGCAAAGAGTGTTAATTTTAAACACCCAGTTTACAAAAAGTTTCTCATAAACAAAGGAGCAACCTAAATTATTGTTCAATATTTGGTTTCATATTGTATTGTATTCATGAAATTTTCTAAATAATAGTGAAATAATTATGGTTATATTCTAAGATACTTACAGGGGCTCAGGTATAGCTCATTTAGATTGCATGCAAATTCGAACTGGTGTATACTAATCACCATCCGATGGAATCATTGAGGTTCCGCCAATATAAAATGAATCTATTAGATCACAGGGAATTTACGCACGCCTGGCCAGCGCTGCGTCATTAAGTTTACTAACTTGAGCTTTGATAACAGTTTCGTGTATGTTCAATCTGTCACTGAATTTATGAAACGTACAATGTAGACATATGGGCGAATTACATTAATTAATGTTTATTTTTTGAAAATACTTAAATCAATAAATGTATTGCTAGGTGCACATTATGTTTGCTGACAATGGTGTGTGGGCGTTTTTGCTGATAAATATGCTGTATACATAAGTAGAATGCATACACAAGTATTTGGTACATACACTTGTGAAACATGTATAGTCGGATGTTTTAGGTTGAGCATGTATGTTTGTTTTCCCAAGCGCTTCCAAAAAACGCTTTTGTTTTAATTAGTCTATGAACTTGTGTACATATTGTATATATACAAATTTTTGAAACATGTATTTTTAGGCTGAAACATTGCATGTATGTTTGTTTTCAGATGTCTTTCCAAATAAAACAGTTTGACATTACTCCTATGAATATAAATTTGCCTTATATATCAACACTTTGCTAAATATTTATAAATGTTTTTGGTTGAAACAACGTTGGCGATTTAGCTTTTTGAAGTGTTTCAAATTAAAAAGTTTAAATCACATATCACAAAATACTAAAAAAAACTACTGTTTTGATAGAAAATACAGGTGTTTTATTCATGAAAAACATAAAAATACTCCAATGATGTACAGTGTAGGAGACGTTCCAGTAACGAATTGTTAAAATTGTTCGATTTGCATAACAAAATCCTTGAAAAGAACATGATCTATATTTACCAAAAACAGCAATGGAATGTTTCTATATTTACCTTTCACGCTCGGAAAAGTAAATGCGATAAAACGAGATTTCAAGGACGCAGGCTTGAATTTTGTTTTGAGTTCGTTGTATGCCTAAAAACATAGCAACATCGAACATGTTAAGTTCCAATAAAAGATTTTGATATGCATCAACATTTCTTACTGGAACATCTCCTGTACTCTCCAAAATTTGACAATGGCACTAGCCCAAAATTGAATTTCTGTTCAACGCATCTTTGATTGTAGCACTGTACGCAACAACACACCCTTGAACATGACAATATTCACTTTCAGACCACTAAGCAAATAGATGGAAATACAGAATACAGCCTTCATGAAGATTGATAATTCGATTGCTGGTCCGGATAGTTACCAAACGCGTCAGCGTGGTATTAAGAGTTTGTTTTCAGAGGTGGGTGATACCAACATTCTTATCTATATTGGAAAAATGTTCTGGGGATTATTAATTTCAATAAACAATATTCAACTATCCTTCTTCAACACCAATAATATCATTACTTACATTATGTCACTAAGCAGTATAACAAGAATACATGATGCAATGTCTATTCTATAAATGGTCAAATGTTTCTTGATCTATAACATTACGGACATTATCAGAGCAAAAGTCGCATTTAAAAAAACCTGCCAGAGCAGCTCCTAAGGATGGTATTCCCAGAATAACACCAGTTGTTAAAAACACATAAAACTTTAATTCTCAACAACGATTGAAGGACGAGTTACTGTGACAAAGCTCTACTCCTCGGGAAAGCTACCCGCTACTAAATCTACCTACAGCGAAGGCCACTCATCACGAAGCTACTAGTTTTGAACTCAATATATTTCTGAAATGATGACGAGCTTTTATTCAAGTTGGTTAATTAAATAGAATCCTAGAGTAAATATTTATTCTGATTATGATTAAATATTAAGCGAATAATATCATTTTCACACGGCGAATTTTTATTTTTCAGGGTTTTGGACTTATTCAGATCAGGTTTGGCACAAATTAAAAGCGGTAAAAACGTTAAAATGTCGGTAAAGTAATTTAGATTTGTGTGTAGATCTGTTCAAATTGATTTAACTATATTAACTCTTAAACGCTTTATGAAAATTGGTGATACTAGATTCTGAATTGATACTTCATTTTTGAAACGAAACCATTATTATAATAGCATACCTCTTTGAACTACAAAAATCAATATACAATAATCGATTTTCCGTTCATTGCGAGATTTCGTGTGAAAAGCGGGGACCGAATGCAAAAATCAAATGATTTGATTTTGATTTTGATTTTGAACTTGAATTTATTTTCCCATAACTCAATATCGACATACCGATCTTTTAGTGGGTAATATGTCGTTGAGCTACCCTTACATTATCAAAATTGTTCATCATCAAATGCGTGTACAAACACTATAAAACGTGAAAATACCTCAAAAATACTTCCGCGTTTGCGAATCCCGCGCAATGTCTTGACGTCACTACGACGCTACGACCTTTGTTTTCACGCATAACATGGGATCTCATTGAGCGGAAAATTATCTATTGGCATGTATCATGTATACAATTTGAGGTCGATTATCATACAATTCATAGCAGATAAAAAAACAAACGCGTTGTTCTGGAAGTTCGTCTCAGATATCAGTTTTTTTTCTTTATTTTTCAACTCTTTCTCTGAAAAAAAAACACTATTTATATACATATAGCGTTGATATATAAATATATAGAGAAGTGATATAAATATACCACTTACCGGTTTATCCATCTGCATTTTATACTGGTAAATGAATCTAGGTCTGTGCGTTAAATCCACACACAGTAGTGGTATACTAACGACCCAATATGTTACAAAAGCCGCCAACCATGACCCTGACAAAGCAAAAAACACATGATAGACAAATTGTCGAATAAATATTTCTGTTGAATTGTTTTAATTGAATATGAATGAAAACTGGACACAATACAACAAAACAGATCTGTGTTGTCCGTGATGTATAAGTTTTACCTCAAATGATACAGTGGCTGCTAAATTGTGTGTTCTCAAACAATGTACTGTGGTGTCACATTCAAATAGCATACGTACCTAAGCAAAACATTACGACATCGCTTTTGCCTGTTAACTGATAAATGCCGTCCCATGTATCCACAAATAATCCGTGGCTTGACATTGAGATTTTCATCGTGTTTACAACAATGAAGCGGCAACACCAAGTAATATATCCGTGCACTGTCGTCTAAACTGCGCATGTGCATACTCTACTGTTCTATGCTTACATGTGCACCGAGGCTGGTTATTTAAATTTCAAATGGTAATTGACTATATGCTAATATATGAGGGACTATGTAATAATATACGTCAATACAGAACGCATGTTAACAAACACATATAATAAATACGTGACATGTAAGTTTTTTCATAGGATTTCTTTATTCTTTTCTCTGCTCTGTACTTTGACATAGTTTTCTAGAATTTTTTCTCAATTTGGCGTTTAATTAGTGTTCTATAAATGTCATTGTTGTGATTTGTTACTCGAATGCGTGTTTCGATCTCCTAGCAGTGGAACTTGCAGCTTCACTGGATCTTTCGACGGATACAGTGTACAGTGTTTAGTGACATTATAATCACCTTTTTATAGGTCCACTCACACACAGTTCTGACTGTGACTATTAGCTCCTTGCTGTGATTCGTGGATCTACAAGGTTCATGATCAGAAAGGCCAAGGGGGCTTAATGAACAAAACAAAATAACATTCTAAACAGCTGTTTCAGAATTGCACTCAACATAATAACTGTACCACGATTCGTTATGTTTAGGGAATAAATGGATTACATTATTGTCTTCATGTAGTATATTATCAAAATACTGCTTGGATATTGACTTACATGTTAAACAATTCTTATAAATTGTCGCATAAATATATATGAACTACAATAGCAATTCCCGTTGAAATGAGTGAAATAACTGCACATGATATACAAAACTAACCTAGTGATGTTTCTCCACACGACTATGGTGTCAAACATTGAGGCTCTGCCAATAAAAAATAATCTATTGATTATATCAAGGGCGTGAGACAAAAGTGATACCTTCTGCTTTGAAATATTAAAAAAAAATATTTGTATTAAATTACAAACTAGATAGTGCGCCATTATATCTGTACTTAATCAAGTTTCTTACCGATTTGACACGATTAGATAACCCTTGCGTGTGTAACGTATATAAATTTGATTGTTCATGATTACTTCAAAGTTGAGTTCTTGTTCTTTTCTCGGATTTTCACCGGCTCTTCACTCGGCGTTCCGCGTTCCTCAGCAGCGCGCTCAGAGCCCATAGAAATACGTGGTACAGTGGTGCGCGTCTTATCAACGTGGAACGTCTTGTGACGTAGCTCCAACAGTTCGATTGGAAAACACGATAACCCACTTCCCAATTGGGAATTGTTTCAAAATGAGGCTGCAACCCCTTTGACCTTTAAATGCATTGTGGGTGATTATGAATCGGAACGAGTCTGTGACCCTTAGTATGACCTTCACACATGGCTGAGATGGACACGGAAGTAACAGAAAGGTAAGGCTTTTTTACATCTTCTTCCTATGTGTAATTAATGATTTGGAAAATTATAATTACAGAGTCAAGCGATATTATAGTGTCTGTTACTACATACTAATAAATGCGTCATTTTGCTTGCTGATTCGAACTTTCGTCCCACACACGTTTCCTCCATCATAGTCACTATATTTACTATGGATGGTTAGGAGGTCAGTGAATTTCGTATCAAACATACGTCTCATCAAACATGAAACAATGATAACAGTAAAGAGACGAGAAATTCATTAGCATCAAATAAATGAGTGAAGCAAGCAACCAAAACGTTTCTTGTATAACAGCTGCCGCAAATAAACAGGGTGTCTGAATAAAGTTGGGATGTAACAAAGTACATGAAGTTATGTTGATCTTGGTGCTCTGAAAAATAATGAATTATGGCACAAATAAAAATAAACTGAAAAAAGGGTTTTCGTGCCAGCCCACGTGCTAATAATATGGCCTGCTCATGCATTTTATCAATATTGCCTTGTAACCGTACTAATGGAGTAACTAATTCCTTGTTATTATTATTTATAATTTTCAGTGAACATAATAATCTTGGTAGGAAGAAAACCCATTTTAGAGGACATAACACATTATAGGAAATTCAAATGATATACCACACCAAACCACCTTCATTCAAATCTTGGATGTATTAAGGTTGATAAATATACCAAGTGAAGCGGAGATCAATAGAAAATGAATATTATTTCCACAATTTACCACACTAAGAAAGACCACTTACATTTCTGTTGTGACGCCTTGAAGATGGAGTGACGTCACACCTCGCGCAACCAGAAGTGACATCACATTACGCACATCAGCTCCGTTGATGGCGCACTATCGCTTGCGTTCCAGACACAAGGCCTATTGCTTCCGCAGTACGTTATATTGAGTGCTGCACATGATATTCATATTAAGTTGACTGGTGCAAGTGTGTTTGTTAAAGTAAAGTATGGTGGAATGTCACGATACTATGGATCTAATGATCTGGTATCTGATTTTGAAGGACATGGGTTAAAAATAACTAAAGGCGACAGCAGATGTGTTGATGGCACAGTTCCAGTTGTTAAACCTTCCCCTCAGAAAGAGTTTAGGCAATTCATGGAATCATTTTTACCATGTAATACACACATATTAGGAAACGAGGAAGAAGTTACCACTGACCAGTCATCACCTTGCACATCCACCAGTGAACCCCAATCAATGTCATCTCAACTATCCATCGGTGAACCCCTACCTGCATCTCAACCGTCCATCAGTGAACCCATACCTGCATCTCAACCATTCATCAGTGAACCCAAACCTGTATCTCAGCCGTCCACAAGTGAACTCATACCTGCACCCCTCCTATCCGTCAGTGAAACCATACCTGCATCTCAACCATTCATCAGTGAACCCATACCTGCATCTCAACCGTCCACCAGTGAAACCATACCTGCATCTCAACCATTCATCAGTGAACCCATACCTACATCTCAACCATTCATCAGTGAACCCAAACCTGTATCTCAGCCATCCACAAATGAACTCATACCTGCATCCCTCCTATCCGTCAGTGAAACCATACCTACATATCAAGTATCCACCAGTGAGCTCATTCCTGCATTCACAAGAGAACCCATACCCGAGTCTCTACCACCTGCCAGTGAACCCATACCTGCATCTCAGCCATCCACAAGTGAACCCATACCTAAATCTCTACCACCTGCCAGTGAACCAATACCTACAGCTCTACCGTCCACCAGTGATGAACCCATACCTGCATCCCTCCTATCCGTCAGTGAAACCATACCTACATATCAAGTATCCACCAGTGAGCTCATTCCTGCATTCACAAGAGAACCCATACCCGAATCTCTACCACCTGCCCAAGCAAGGGTACATTTTTCATTATAGAAATCAATATAATCAGACTTTTAGATCTTTTGATCTCGTTACTCCATTCAGAACTGTATATTGTAGGTATCTGATATACAATCTAAGTTTGCCAACACAAGTTGTTCAATGACACTCTTAGTTTGATTTTTGATATCATGATATTTACATGACTCAGCTGGAGTGACAAATACAGGGTAATTGCCACTTCGGTCATCTGATACTGGCTTTCCAAGAAATTTCAATTCTATGAATTTGTTTCTTTTTTGCATTGCCAAAGAGGTAAACTTCACAAGATTGCTATCTAGTGGATTACCATCCACACTTACATGCGGTCTGTTTACAAATGGATCCAGACAGTATTTTGCATTTCTCAGATAGCTTCGCCAGGCATTTATTTCATTAATTTGACTGGGACGTTTACCACTTTTTCCACTGGAAGGGTCAGAGATACCCATATTTTGAAATGTGGCCAATCTG